GGCCCCACGTGTACCAGATCGCGACCTCCTTATCTATGTGACTGTCGCTGATTCAGGACTGTCCATGGTTTCGGGCAAGAAGCGCAAGCTTCGCAAGTACGACTTTGCGGAGCGTTTGGATGCCTCTCGCCCGGCGCGTGTCGGTGCATGGAGGTCAGAAATGCTTTGGGGCAAGGGCTTACAGCAGCTGTGCAAGCGGTTGGCCGCCCTCATCGACGAGGTGCGTACCGACCACCCAGCTGCCACCATCATTCCGATGATTTACTGGAATGGCAACGAGCTCGTTGGGAAGGACGGCCTCGAGCCCACGGGTACATATCCTTATGATACCCCCACCGGCGACGCCGAACAACTTCTTGCTGACTCCAAACGGCACCTGGCTTGGACCAGGGACTTCGCGGCCCGCAAGGGCTGCGCATGCCTTGGTGATTTGGGACCGTTTCATGACGGAAGTCCGGGATTACATCATCGGCGACCCCAATCATATGTTTGTGTACGTAGATGCTACACCCTTTGTCGAGACCATCGATTTGCTGGACAGGTATCATATGTGCTTCAGTGATGACAACATCACGAAGACCGTCCAGTTCATGCGCGGAACCCACCACATGTTGTATATGCTTTCCATCTTGCGCCCCGCAATGGGCAGCGTAGCCGAGCTGACACGTTCGCATGATTGCACCATGCGTCCGATCGATGTGCTCGAGGTGCGCCACCAAGAAGATTGCACAGTCAACGTTGAGGTTCTCGCGTACTGCAAGGAGACGCTAACGAAGTGCGGTGTTTCCTTGTCAGAGATGGTTGGGCTCCCTTTCACCCGTGAAGAAGTGGAGGTCCGGCAGCCCCTCGATTTCGCCCCCGTCAACCCAGCCGAGTTTGCAACTTCAGGCGAGCCTTCCGGTGCAGATGTTTCCGAAAGTGTTCGCCCGGCGCAAGCCGGTGCAAAGGCGGCTGCAGTGGCACAGAGGGACGAGGCGGCAAGCAGACCGGTACCACTCGACTCCTACGGGAGGAACGTGACTGGAGGCCACTACGACTGCTGGGTGTATAGTATTCATGATGGCGTGAAGTATGTCGACTACGGTGAGGGCCCCAAGAGACTCGACATCATCAAGCAGCCCTCTTTCGATTACGACCCTTCTGTCAGGAGAATCAGCAATGAGTACCACAGTTCCCTGACGTGCATCTCCAAGATCCTCCGTGGTCGTGGAACAGAAGGATGCGGGTACGTGATGGATGAGGACGGCTACATGGACCTCGAAGACCTGGGACTCGCGCTTCGCAAGGAGCTGCGACATCCCATTCCATGGAATATTCAGAATATCATGGACATCTTCAAGCTGGACAAAAAGCAGAGGTTCATTGCGCTTGGTTGCCCGGACGCAGGCCGGTGCGGAGACGTCCCATGTTCGCATTGGCTTTTCAAGATAAAGGCCTCTCAGGGACATGAGGACTGGCTCCAAATCGACGACTCCGGCATCGCGAAGGAGTGGTACGTGAACCCGGGGACTGACCTCGGGCGCTGGTCTGGCTGGAACGTCTGCAGCAACCCTCCTACGGTGCTCTATCATCGCACCGATAAGCGGAACTTCGCCAGCATTATGCGAAACGGACTGCTTCCAGGAGGAGGGGACCAGCACGAGACAGGCAGACCTCACGTTTTCTTCGCTGACATTCCGAGCACGAATGAAAATTACATCTCAGGTGTACGTGCTAACAAGCCCTTGGAGATACAGATCGACCTCAGGATGGCCATTCGCGCAGGGCTTTGCTTTTTCAAGACAGAGAGCGATGGCGTCCTTACGCGCGACAAGGTGCCCAACTACACGATTATTTCTGTATTGGACGCTACAAATGGCGATGTATGGTACACTCGCTCCGAGCAATCGGATGCAGGTGCACCAGCTGAGGCGAATGAGGATGAATCGCAGGGGATGAAGCGCGACCAAGCCGTGGTTGATGATCGATCTACAGCGCTGGAACGTATTGCTACAACCCGCACCAATGTGGCGTCTCCTCGCGCCCCGCAAGGGGAAGCGAAGAGACAGAAGACTTTCAACCCAATGGAGAACGTTGAGCTGAATGTCGCCACGTGCCCGGTCTGCAACAACAGTGTGTTCGAGGGGCAGGTCCACTGCTCGTCATGTGGGCAGTTGTCTCCCCTCAATCCCCGGCTGCTGAAAGAGCAGCAGAGGAATTACATTGTGCAGCGTTCCAATTTGCTGAAGAAGATGGGCCTCAGCACCCATGTCACAGCCCAGGTTCTGGCATCCGTGGGAACTTTTGACCTCCGCGAGGAGGATCGTAGCAGCACATCATGTCACAGCCCAGGGCTCTGGCACTCCCCGGACAGTGCTTGTTGACCTCCGCGAGGAGGATCGTACAAGTCCGCTCTGAAGAACTCCCCGGACAGTGCTGTTATTCAGGAGGCCCGGAAGAAGCACAAGTCCGCTCTGAAGAACGGCTACCACTCTCTGCTAGATCGCTATGAACTCGACCTTCAATACAGGGTTCGTATGCTTGAGGTGGGCCGTCGGGAGGCGGACATGCTCCGCATGGAGTTGAGTGCAAATCTCGTCTTGGCTGCTCCAAAGCAGTCGCAAGCCCAGCGCACTCTGGGAGTTGGCCTTGGATCAACCTCGGAGTCGCGAATCGCAAGGCTCGCGTATATCAAGACGGAGTTGGAGTTCTTGCCCAACGAACTCCAAGATGCGCTTACCTCTCGCTGGATCATTATGTTCCAAGGGATGCCTTATAGCCCAAGGGCTTTTATCAACGTGGTCTTTGAACAAGACAAGCCTCGCAGCATCGGTTGTTGGAATGGCATCATCCATTTGCGAAGCAACACGTTGGAGGACCTCCGCAACGAGATGGACTGGATTTTCAGCCAGAATGAGCGTTATGCTCGTAACTCGATTGAATTTTCGAGGAACGAGAGCAGCAAGCACCTCGCTCGCAACGCCGCTCGCTATGCCGACACACGTGCTCCCGCCGCCCGCGAGGGTGAGCATTGGAGCCAAGGCAGCTGGCAGAATTGGTCCGGATGGAGCGGATGGGACAACAGTAGCGGAAACTACTCTACGTGGCAGTGGCGCTAAAAGCGCAACTGTCATGGTTTGCATGTGTCAATGGTTCCCCTGACCTTCTCCCTCTGTTGTGTTACTGTTTGGCTGCTTTGTGAAAGGCCCCTTTAACACGCAGAGGGGGGTGAAGAATTTGATCGGTCAGTATGGGGTTTTACATCCAGTGCATCCGCAGTGTGGCTGTTCAAGCGTGAAAATGTGCGAGCAGCGCACTTGGACGGTTTGTTGTTTCCTTTTGGGCCCCAAACCGGTAACCCTTGAATCTATAAAAACCAACGGAACCATTTTGGGGTGGGTGCACCACTCATTTTGGTCTATTTTAGTGGGGTTGGGATGTTCACTGGAATTACGATGGCCATGTCAGCAACAGCCAACACGGGTGCCCCCCCAATTTTGCGGCCACATCACAACCGACTCCTTCCCTCGACGCAGCCATGTAAAAATTAATGGAACAAACAAAGCCCTGGTTGATTTTGATCCGGGGGGTCCTCTTTAAGTGGGGGTTCATCACTTTTGGAGGGCTAGGGACTCGCCGTTTGGCCAGGCAATCACTGGTGGAATGGCACCAGGCTCAGATCAAGTTGCAGGTGTGGCCAGAGTCATGGGCTTCAAAAGGACCAACAACAGACTCTCCCTCGGCTCCCAGCCGTCCGGTTCCTGAGCTTTTAGGTTTGTAGTCATAGGCGTCCTTTTTAGGTTAGTTTGGTTAAATATAGATGGCACTGGTTTAGATGGGTTTTGTTCCATTGACCAGGGCCATCTATTTTTCCAAAAGGCCACCTATGTTTGTAGTGTTTGGCGGTTGGGTTTCCGAAAAACTTGCCCACAGGCTAAGCTTTTGGCAGCGGCTCGGATAAAGCGGACGGCCCAGTCACGCGAAAAATGATTCATCCCCTCAGAGCGAAAGAATGACCTTCCAAAACCTCCGCGAGCTTGGCATTTGCCATGCAGCTTTCTCTTTTTTTTTCTCCTTCTCCCACTTGCTCATGTGCTGTGGATGGTTGAAAGCGAAGTCCATGCAACGCACCGTTCAGAAGCCCAATGGGGATGATTTTTCTGACTCCCCCCCCGACGTAAAAAAATGCCAAGGGACGTTCTGGCTTCCGCTGGTTTCAAAGTGGTGCGAGATGGATGTCGCAGCCATCCACCGAGTCTCATTTTGGTACTGGTGGAGCTACACGCGCGGGTGTATTTCCGAGAAACGCGCGACGGGAGGTGTGAAATGGTGCAACGGGAAAGCCACCAAAAAGGGCCATTTGAGACGTTCCCGACCCATAGACTACCATGCAAGGAAAGCAGCTCAAGGTGGGTTGGTACACTTGTGCTATCGTGAAGGGTCTCAGTTGCAGGCATGCTCGGCACAGCGGCGGCAATGGTTGTCTTAGGCATTGCGTCTTCTGCCTTGAACAGTTTCCTTTGCCACTGCAGGCAACGGGGAAAGCCGGATTTTCTATGCGCTTCGCTTGGCCATGTCCATTTCTTTAGTCCACATATCATGAGCGAAGCGAGAAGAGAAGGTGATGGCCACTTTTTCGACTCGCTTTCCAGTCGAGAATTGGCGAGTTCATGGCCATCACGTATTTCAGTATTTCTGTCATTGGTCTCTAGGTTGGTCCAAGGGGAAAGCGAAGGGGCGCTCCCATTTCTGGGGCTCCCGATGCTTCTCTGCGATGAAACGCCCTCCCCGAGCTCCAGCTCGAAGCCTTCCATCACCGCTTAAGACACTTTCCCAGCGAAGCCTTTCTGACCTCTGATGGTATCTTGGAGGTTCCTGCCGCAGCTCAATGAGCTCAGTATGTTCTCTTATATTTTGTGATGTCCTTGAGAGTTGCCTTCGAGATGAAGTCTATGATTCCCCCCCCCCCCCCAAAGGTCCTCCCTGGTGCCCATCTCATTCTCTCCTCAAGGCGCATGAACATGGGCTGGCTGATTTGGGGTTGGTTTGGTTTAGAGATGGATGGGTTCCACCGGTTTGGCTGGAGATTTTTCAGCCATTGACCAAGGGAAGCCCATCCATTTCTCATCCAAAAAAGGCCATGGGCACTCAAAGCAGCATAGCCAAACAAACCTGAAACCATTTACACCATTGCACCGGGCTCCGGCCTGTTTGCGCCCCATCCTGCGAGCAGGGGTGCCGCGAGTCGGACTCTCGCACGACTCGCGGCACGACACTGAGGACTGGCGAGTGGCCATCGAGGTCTTCGAGGGCAACTCCCAGGCTGGATCCGAGTTTCTGGTGGGTTGGTCGTGGTGTATTGGTTTTAACCGCTCTCCCACGTTGCCAGGGCGCGGTTGACGTTTTGGGGGGTTCCAAGAGGATCTTGTTTTCTTCCAGGTATCCTTGCACAGGTCTTGCAGGTAGGTGCCCCACGTTATTTTTTAAATAGGAAGCCAAAAGGAGACCAGTCTGCTCTTTTTTGGGGGGATACCAAAGGAGACCAGTCTAAAGAAAAAGGAAGCCAAAAGGAGACCGGTCCGATTTTTTGCTTTAGGGAAACCCAAAAGGGGACCTCCAACCACTCTTTTGTGGTTAAAGGGGAAGCCGAAAGGAAAACCCAAAGTCTCAAAAACCCATGTCCAGTACTTCTCCAGGAGATTCGACTTGGGCGATCTTCCTGGAGATTTGTTTCCTGGTGTCTCGGGGAAGAAGAGGGCCTCCGAAGCGGCCATGTTGGGGTCTTTCGTTTTTTTCTCTTCTCATTTTTTTTCGTACTCATGGCTGGATAGATAACCCTCTTTCTCATGGAAACAATGTTGTTTGTTGTCCTCCTCTGGCTGGGACGGAGCGGATCGAGCAAACGAGGGGATGACCGTGAATCCCAGTTAACGAGCAAAGGGTTGCACAGTGGGAGGTTTCGATTCACTCGCCAGTTCTGGTTCGGTCCTAACACCCGAGAACAGATCCAGTGGTGGAACACTCGGGGGGGGGGGGTGTTAGGTTGCCACTTTCTGGATAACCAAGAAAATAGCAAGGGAACAAGGGCCACAAAAACAAAAGGAACACCAAGGGAACTCCAACCCGAGAACAAATCCAGCACATGGTGGACCGTTGGTGTTTTCGGTTGTCAAAGGGGAGCCCTTCAGTGACACAAACTCATGGTCCACCGTGGTACAGAAGAAGGTCTTTGTGACCAAGCCGCCCCCTTTTTCTGCACCTTTTGCTTTCAAGCATCGCTTTTCCATTGGACCCAACAGGGTTTCCGAGGCGTTTCCCCTTGGAAGGTCCCAAGGTGGCAATCGGGAAATTTGCTGGAAATCCCGGGACTTCTCCCAGGAGCCCTACGAGCTGCTCGCGGCGGGGCTTGGGGTCTTGGGGTCATGGGCTCGCTCCGGCGGATCTTTTTTTGGCGGTTTGGGGTGGGAACCTCCCCCCACCTCGTTGTTTTTTTCTTTTTTTGTTTTTTCTTTTCTTCTTCTTCTTCTTTTTCTTTTCCGGTCTGGGCAACGTTTGTTTTTTTGGCCGTCGAGTTTGAGGGTTTCGGGTTGGCCGGGCAGAGTTTGTCGAGAGCCCGGACGTGGACCAAAGGTTTTTGGCCAAGAAAAGTGTCTCCTTTTTTGTTCTGCTTTGAAACAACGATTTTCTGGTCCTTGTGTTGCTTCTTGCACGGCCTTAGCTGCAACAGGTTGTGTCCATACGTTAGACATAGATGGGTTCCACTGGTTTAGATGAGCTTGATTTCATGTACCAGAGCCTTTTCCAAAAGGTCAACGAGTGGCACCACCTCTTTGTCTGCTGATGGTTGTCAGCCGAGCTGGTGGTTCAAAAGGAGCCTTTCAGAGCTATCCAAATTTGTTTTTAATGAGGGAGCCTTTCGGAGCAACCGATCGGCGTCCCTGGTTAGGGACGCGGTAGCTGCGCGTTTCCTTTTGCCCGCCCCTCCTTCCTCCCCCCCCCCCCTCAAGCAAGAACATATGCAATTCTGCACGACCCATCTCCGAAAGATCTGACACCCCCCACGTAAAACTCATACCCACCAAGAGCCAGAGTAGCCAAAGCACCTTGAAAATCACCCCTTCCCCCTGCGCACCCGTTTTTGAGCCTCGTTGGCTTTTTCCGCATCCGCGCGAGTTGGTGTTCTCCATGTACATCGCCTTTGCCACGTTGGTGATGCTGAACCTGGTGACCGGGGTGTTTGTGGAAGGCCGAGGGAGATCGGCTTCTCGCTGGGTTTCTTGGGTTTCTGGGGGCCAGGAGTAGATGTGCAAAATACGAACTGAAGCCGAATGAAAAGAGCACCAGGGGTCAGGGCTCATGTCCAAGCGCGCGTGAAGGCCGTGAATTGGTATGTTCTTTTGTACTCGGGTTGCCTATGACCCACTTCGAGTATCGTGGCTTATCACCTTTTGACGAATTGACCCCCGCTCACAATGTCCGTTCCGGTGAAGAGTATTGCAAGCTCTGGGAGGTAAAACGAGATTAGAGATGCAGTCCTCATTTCAGGCTTTGGAATGACTGCAACAATTTCTGATGTTTGTGTAAAAAGGGGTTTTTAGGGTCACTTTCTCTGATACCAAGGAAATCCTGGTTGAAGAGACACGCAGTTGAGCGAAAGGCGAAGGGAGCAGGCAAGGGGCCACTTTTTCAACACGAAAACATCCTCAAATAGCGAAGCCCCTTTCCCGGGATTGAAAGGGAGGCCGCGAAAGGAAGGCCGAAAGCTCAACCAGAGCCCAAGTTCCCTGGCAGACGCTCATGTTGTCTCCACCTTTTTTCGCGTGGACAAGCACCAGTGGGTGTGAAGGGTCCGTCCAAATAAATGGTTCCAGTACGTTTCAACTAGCGCCCACAAGTACCAGGGCTTACTGCCTCATTGTAGAAGCTGGTTGCAACTGTCTCATTGGCTGACTTTGCAAGAAATCCTGGGCGCATGTGATCCCGTCAGGACATCGACTACTGAACAAACATATGGCTGTGGCTCAAAAAACCGGTGCCAAAATGGGTTGCCCTTGTAAGTGGAAACATGGACCAAAACCTGCGGTTTGCCCCTCCTGTTTAATTTTGAGCCACACCCAGGGGACACAAAGGGAAATGGAGGTCATCCGATGCTCGGTTTCCCAGAGAGAGGATTGGGCACAATCCGCCCAAGGATGTCTTTTTCCTTTGGGCCCCCTAAAATGGCCCCCCGTTTCTGAGGTCCCTTCAGGGGTCCATGGGTTTTCCATGGAAGACTCCGGGGCTCCGCCTTGGGGTCATGGTGTCATGGCCCTGCGCTTTCTTTCTTTTTTTCCCCCAGGCGCCCAGCGGATCGCCAGGGAGGAGAAGGAGCAGGAGCGCTCAAAAAGTCAGCCCGGGCATCTTGAGACAATTCTCGGCGGCCAAACTCCGAGCTTTCTCCGGAATTCACTCTTGGACCCGTTTCGTTTTTTTCGAGGCATCAACTTGAGAAGAAGCGGCCGAACTCCGAGTTGTCTCTGAAATTCACGTCCGGACCTGTTTCGGTGAAGGAAACACAGGTCGCGTTGCCCCTGAAAATATGGGGATCCCAAGGGTCACCGTTTGGCTCAACACCTCCCTTGCTCAAGTTTTTTCGCGGGTTTCATTGGAAGCAGGACCAAGAACTCTGGCAGCTGATTCGGGGAAATCCAGTGGCCCCTGTAAATAGCCATGAATTTCAGAGGGGCGCTAAGTCTCTAGAACATATGGGTATGGCTCAAAATTGAAGAGCTGGGGTTACGCGGGTTTTAGTCTTCGGTTCCACTTACCAGGGTTCCATTTTGGTACCGGTTTGTTGAGCCACAGCCATATTGGCTTTGGGAGGGTGACCCTCCAAACTGATTGGACATCACTCCCCATATGGATGTCAACAACGCCTGGAGCTCGTGGTGGCATGTGCGGCGATGTTTGATTCTTTTTTTGATTCCCCATTCTTTTCAGCCATAGTTCTTTTCGAACACCGATCGCCATTTCCCCAGGGTTTTTGGTGGTTTTCTAGAAAGATGCGGATCCCTGGAAAGAATGGGGACGTTACCGCTGGAAATATTGGTGTGTCTCAGAACAGGGACGCCTCCAAAATGGCCGGTTTGAACGTTTGACAATGACCCCCAACAGCGTACCCTCAACACAAGACCTTGGTCCCCCAGTAGTGCCCTTTTACATTTTTTGGGGGGAGGGTTCCCCTACTAAAATAGACAACAGAAAAAAGGGTACCCTTATTCTAACCTCGCTACTGGAGGACCTAGAAGACAGACCAATATGACTAAGGAAAGATCCTCAGCTAGCCCTAAGCAAACCCTAAGCAAACCCTCTTCCAACCTTTAAACCCACCCGAAACCAACCCCAAATCCACAGTAAACCAGCACTTACGAATTACTTGGCCAGCCTAAGCCAACCAACCCCCCTCTCCCCCCCAACCCACAACCAGCACTAAAAAAACACCACGTCAGGAAATCCTTTCCCAACCCTAGACCCACGCTAAACCCAAAATAAACTAGCACTAAAGTATCCCTCAACCAACCCGAACCAACCCGAAGCAACCCGAAACTACCCCTAAACAAACCCTGAACCAACCTAAACCCACCCTTGTCCAAACCTAAATCAACCCTAAGCAAACCCGAACCAAATCCTGAAGCAATCCCAAGCCTACCCCCTCGGCCAACCCAACCAATCCGAAACCCGACACCCTGAACCAGCTTTAACCCACCTCAAAATCAACCCTAAACAAACCCTAAGCAAACCCTATACCAACCTTAAGCTTTAGACCAGCACAACAGTTTCCCTCAACCAGCCTGAGCCCACCCTAAACCCAGACCCTAAATTAACTCACCCTAAAGCAACCAAACCCGCCCTAAGCCAACGCAAGCCAACCTTAACCCACACGAAATTAACCCAAGCTGTCCCTAAACCCACATTAAACCCACACGAAACCCTCAAGCCAAGTCTAACCAGCCTAAACCCACCGTAAGCCCACGAAACAATCCCTCCAACCTTAAGCAACCCATCCTCACCTACCGCTAAACCAACTCTAAACCAACTCTAAATAACCCCACCCGAAACCATAGGCCAACCCCAGCAAGCCCTTTGCAAAACCCTTTTCCCTCTGAGAAAAGTCGGCCTCGGACGTTTTTTTGAAACCGCCCATCGGTCCTTCGGGCCTAGGAGCTCATCAAGAGCGTGCAGAAGCTGAGCTCGGGCCGCCAAGCGAGACCTCAAGCCGGGACGGTCATTTGGCCTTGCTCCAAAGGGTACAAAATGGAACAGTGGTAAGTGGAAACATGGACCAGAACCTGCGTAACCCTAGCTCTTTAATTTTGAGCCACTGCCAAAGGGTTTTTGGGTCGAAATCAAACCAAGAGATTGCAGGTTTTTCGTCTTTGGCTTCATTTTCCAGTCCCAACATGGGGACCAATTTTCGAGCCACAGCCAACAACTAGTCTTCCCAAAACCTGGCTGAAGTCCCCAGGAACTCTGGGAGTCAAAGTCAGAAGCAAGTTAACCCACTTGGGCCAATCAAAAGTGGTTGGTGGACCAAACAACAACATATCTCCACCAAAGGGGGCCGGGACCCGTGAAAAGTCCCACCCAACGCTGTGTTCTCTTGAGTTACGGAAGATCCCCTTGGACCTGACTCTGCATGTTTTGTATGTCAAGCCTGTTGAATACTTCGGTCAACGGCAATGGCAAAGATCAGGATTCACCAGCCCTAGAGGCTCCTCCTGGTTTGAGCACAGTGCGCAGATGAGCCAAACTCAGAACCAGCCGTTCCTGTGATGCCTTGCAAGCCCACCACGCTTGTCCGAGATCACTTCCATCTAATGAATGTATCCAAATGGTTCAAATAAATGATAATAGTTTGGATTTTGTGGCCTTCCTGACGGAGGTGTGCAACTTTGGCCCTGCGGGCGTCTTGGGCCTCATAGGCTCTTCTTTCCGGCGTGTTTAGACCCCTTTGTTGGCAACGAAGAGGAGCTAGGGTTCGGATCCGCCAACGGTTTTGCGGACGAGACGGCCCGAAGCTTGGGGTCTAAATTGCAAAGCTCAGCGCCCGGCTCGGCGTTGGAGCTGAAGAAACATAGGTGAGTATGATGGGCCACTCACACAAACTCACACAGACACACAGACACAGACACAGACACAGACACAGACACAGACACAGACACAGACACAGACACAGACACAGACACAGACACAGACACAGACACAGACACAGACACAGACACAGACACAGACACAGACACAGACACAGACACAGACACAGACACAGACACAGACACAGACACAGACACAGACACAGACACAGACACAGACACAGACACAGACACAGACACAGACACAGACACAGACACAGACACAGACACAGACACAGACACAGACACAGGACACAGACACAGACACAGACACAGACACAGACACAGACACAGACACAGACACAGACACAGACACAGACACAGACACAGACACAGACACAGACACAGACACAGACACAGACACAGACACAGACACAGACCAGACACAGACACAGACACAGACACAGACACAGACACAGACACAGACACAGACACAGACACAGACACAGACACAGACACAGACACAGACACAGACACAGACACAGACACAGACACAGACACAGACACTGACACAGACACAGACACAGACACTGACACAGACACAGACACAGACACAGACACAGACACAGACACAGACACAGACACAGACACAGACACAGACACAGACACAGACACAGACACAGACACAGACACAGACACAGACACAGACACAGACACAGACACAGGACACAGACACAGACACAGACACAGACACAGACACAGACACAGACACAGACACAGAGAGACACAGACACACAGACACAGACACAGACACAGACACAGACACAGACACAGACACACACAGACACAGACACAGCCACAGACACAGACACAGACACACACACACACACACCACACACACACACACACACACTTATCTCGAGAGGCTTCACTAGCCGAGATGAAAAACGCAGTCAGTAAAAATGCTTGAATGCAAATGCAAATCAACAGGTCACAACATCGACACCGAACAGGAAGCAACAGCGACAAACAGAAACCGCAAAAGGAATCAGGAAAGAGGGTCAGGAAATAGGCAGGTACGCCGGATTGATCAGATCCGGTATCCACCGAAATGCCGTAGCTTCATTGGACTGGATAGGCAAATCGGCTCCAGTCCCCCTGCAATGTGGAATTTCCGTCCGTGCTCCAGGACGCTTCACACACACGGAGCCCCAACTGGGGCGACATCACGTGTGCAAGGCCCATTGAGTCTTGCAAGCATCAATTGTGCGAGAAAGTCTTGTGGCGATGACTGACCACACATACTTGGCTTTGGAATTGGTCTTAAGGGAACGGAGGAGTTCAATCTCTCCCTCAGTCCAAGGCTGCGAGGCTTCAGGTTCGGCCTCAGTAGAGGCATCAGTAGAGGCATCAGTCCTGGTCGATGTGGTAGCTTCGCGTGGTCCACGAGCAGGTTTGGATGCCGTAGATCGTGAGGAGGCCAAATCACGTGTGCGGCGAGCTCGTTTTTTGTCGGGAGAAGACGGAGGAGGAGTGGGCGGAGCCCAATGATCAGGGAATTGTTCGTCATGATCAGTGGGAAGGTGTTCATCTGGAGCATCAGGAGGTGGCTCAAAGAGGTCCTCGAGGGGGGCCAGGAGGGGTTGGTGGTGAGTTGGTCAGGTCCTCAATGGCGGGGTTGAGCGTGGCCTCCGGTGCCAAATCAGGTTCGGCAGTCGGACTCTCAGTGAACTCGCGGATGGTGGCGATGCCTTGTTGGGCAATGCCAAGGATGAGTTCGAAGTCTTGGAGCAGCTGGCGTGCTGTGTTGGTATCCATGCTCGCAACGGATTTTGGTCAAACAGTCAAACAGCTGCGGCACGAAAATCAGGTCAAACCTGTCAGGATGCAAAGGCAGAGAAGAAAACCAGTGTGGTTTCGCAAAGGACGGTTTTTCTTCTCTTTGTAAGGTGAAACCGTGTTGGAGGTACAACCTCTTCAACATTGCAAGATCCTGATCTCGCTGAAATTCAGGAAAGGAAACTCGGCTGATCAGCGTGCGTCTGGAATAATATCCAGATTCCTTATGTATCATTGGTGCGGCTGACTTGACGGAGAGCATGTTGTGCTTCTCATGCGAGGGAATGAAGGAGATGGTGCCGCTTGTGAGGTTCAGTCGGAACCCCAAGAAGTCCAGGGCGGCTTCTGTTTCCAGGAAGATGTCTCCTCCATAGAAGTGTTCGTCGCACAGTATGTTGGCTGCCGGAGTCGAGAGCCACCTGGGGGTTGCGATCACGAGTCTGTTGTCCACGTAGCGGAGCAGGAGAGTCTCTTCAACGGAGCGAAGTCCCAATGTGGTGTGAGTGTTGGTCCAACATTGTTCGGCGACCGCGATCACCATCAAACAGAGAGCTGGGGACGCGGGGGATCCCATCGGTGCCCCACGTGTTTGCCTGAATGAACGAAGGCCGACAGAGAAGATCTGCATGTCAAGGGTGGCCTGAATGATCTCGGGGATGTCGTCGAGCCACAGGGTGCGTTGTGTGGGTTTGTGTCGGCGACGGCGTCCGTTGTAGACGCGGGTGATGGCAGAGGTGTCAAGTGTGTCCACTGTGTGGTGTGTGGTAGAGGAGTGTGGTTGTCGTTGTCGGTACCAGGTTAGCAGTAGTCGCCAGGCTGCTAAGAAGCGGTCTTTGTCGATGGAGGTGAAAAATCCGGAAAGGTCCTGGTTTCGGTAGTCCAAATGGGTGTGGCCGAGGCTTAGAAACTCGTGCAAGGACCGCATGAGTTCAAAGAGGTCGCCACCTGAAAACGCGTCAGGGCAAGCCGTGGCCACCATGCTGTGGGGGAGCTTGGCGAGAGCGTCGAGCATGGGTCGGAAGAAGGCGCCAATGAAACTGATGATGGGTCGGGCAGTGGTCCAGTTCTTCTTCCTCTTCGGGAGGATGTAGGCGTTGGCTGGCCTTCCGAATCCGGTCACGGCCCAAGGATAGCGGCCGCGGAATCTGGTGACAATGGTTTCTCGTAGTCGTTGGTGGATCTCAATGGCAGGGACCGGCAGAGGGGCGAAGATGGCAGGGTCCGCAAAAGTGGCTTCCAACATCTTGCCGTAAAGAACGGGACAATAGATCATGAGTCGGGAGTCCGCATGGTCTTCGCAATGGCGGACAAGGGGTTCCAGGGTATGCAGAGCCCGTTGGACGTGGGCGTGAAGAAAGTACTGTGATGTGTGTGAATGGTGGAGGTCGAAATGGAATTCGACAATAGTAGTGAGGGTTGATGGGTCGAGCGCGGGTAGGTTGTTGGTCCTGGCCCAGTGTTGAAATGCCTGGGTCAGGCGACTCATCAAGACCCCTCGTGGAGGAAAGAAGGAGTTGCGCATCGATCCGGATAGCATGTGGGCAGTGTCGGAGTCGAACAGCGCATGGGTGTCTGCACCGGAGAAAAGAAGGTGTCCGTCATGCTTCGGGAGGGATGGGTGTCGTTGGGCGAGGTCGGTGCATGTGCAGGTCGTTTCACCGAGACTCCAGGTTTTTGCTGCCTGGAGATGTGAGAACAAGGCACTGGAGAGTCTCCGATGTGCCTTGAAGACAACGCGTGGTTGTGCCATGTGAAACGGTAAAGCGCTGCGAGTGGTAGATCGAATAAACCCGCGAAGTTGGGTTAAAAGCAGGGATCGGAAAGAAGGATGGGCGAGGAAGGGTGCAAGCATCGGTCTGGAGGGGCCAGGTGGAATGAGGCCCCGGAATCGGAAACTGGATCGAATGGCGGAAAGGCATGTCTGGTGGTGTGGTTCAGGCAGGTGTGTGGCTATGCGATGAAGGACATAGAGAGCGGCGGGTGGGAAGTCTCTGCCCCGTATGTAACGGATGGCATCAAATCGTCGTAGAGTGTTGCTGCCAAGATCGCCCAAAAATCGCCACAAATCTAGGCGGTTGTTCATGCGCTTGGCCAGGAAGGCCTGTTGTAGGGCGATGGGTAGTCGTAGTCGGCGGCGTTTTCGCCAGATGGTGGCGAAGCCCATGTGCCGGGATTGGGAGAAGTCCAATTGGCGTGTGAAGCCCGTGCGTGGCCGGAAATGTCTCTCGATGAAGCCAAAATTGAGAGACGGTTGCAGTTCCTGGATGTAGAACTGTTCAGTGGCAAATAGGTCCG